GTGAGTCTCCTGTGAACCTCATATAGTAGGAACATGGTTTTTTAAATCTATTCTGATAATCCCTGACTTTTAATCAACTCTTTAATTTAAGTTAATCCATGTACATTTAAAGTAATTACTGATAAGGTCTTATTTCTGTCATTTTGCTATTTGTTTTCTATATGTCATATCTTTTTGTTCCTCAATTCCTCTATTACTGCCTTATTTTGTGATTAATTTTTTGTAATGTACCAATTTTATTCCTTTCTCATTTCCCTTTCTACATCTTTTTAAGTTAATTTCTTAGTGGTTACCTTAGGGTTACAATTAATATCTTAAATATATAACAAGCTAGCTTGAATTGATACCAACTTAGCTTCAATAGTACACAAAAACTCATTACTGTTATCACCACAAATTATGTCTTTATACATTGTGGCCCATTAACATAGATTTATGATTATTGTTTCATAAATTTGTCTTTTAAATCATATCAGAAAAAAAAGAGGAGCTATAAACCCAAAATATAATAATACTGGCTTTTATATTTACCTATGTAGTTACTTTTACCGTGTTCTTTATTTCTTTTATGGCTTCCAGTTATTTTCTAATGTCCTCTCATTTTAGCCTGAAGGACTCCCTTTGGCATTTCTTGTAGGGCAGGTCTACTAGCAACAAACTCCTCAACTTTAGTTTATCTGGGAATGTCTTAATTTCTCCTTCATTTTTGAATGGTTATTTTTGAAGGATAATTTCAATTTTGAAGGATATTGTATTCATTTCCTGAGGTTACCATAACAAAGTACCACCAACTGGGTGGCTTAGAACAACATAAACTTATTGTCTCACAATTCTGGAGGCCAGAAGTCTGAAATTAAGATGTTGGCAGGGCCATGCTCCCTCTGAAGGTGCAAGGGAATGATGTGTTCCAGGCCTCTCTTCTAGCTTCTGGTAGTTTCAGGCATTCCTTGGCTCGTCTCGCCTTCCTATCTTCTTCCTGTGTCTCTTCATATCATCTTCCCTCTGCATATGTCCGTCTCTGTGTCCAAATTTCTCTCTCTTTTTTTTAAATTTTATTTATTTCTTTCTTTTCCCCCAAAGCCCCAGTAGATAGTTGTATGTCGTAGTTGCACATCCTTCCAGTTGCTGTATGTGGGACGCGGCCTCAGCATGGCCGGAGAAGCAGTGCCTCGGTGCGCGCCCGGGATCCGAACCCGGGCCGCCAGCAGCGGAGCGCGCGCGCTTAACCGCTAAGCCACGGGGCCGGCACAAATTTCTCCTTTTTATAAAGACATTAGTCATATTGGATTAGGGTCCCCTCTAATGACTTCATCTTAACTTGATCATCCACAAAGGCCTTATTTCCAAATAAGGTCACATTCACAGCTACCGGGAGTTAGGATTTCAACATATTTTGAGGGGACACAATTCAACTCATAACAGGTAGCAAATGTGAAGGACAGAATTCTTGGTTGACAGTTTTTTTCCTCTTTCAGGACTTGAAGTACATCATTCCATTGCCTCAGGCCTCCACAATTTCTGATGAGAAATTGGCTGTTAATCTTACTAAGGGTCCCTTGTACAAAATGAGTTGCTTCTCTCTTGCAACTTTCAAGACTTTCTCTTTATCTTTGGACAGTTTGATTATAATGTGTCTCAGTGTGGATCACTTTGAGTTTATCCTATTTAGTGCCTTTTGGATGTCTAGATTCATATCTTTTATCAAATTTGGAAAGTTTTTAGCTATTATTTCTTCAAATATTCTTTCTTCTCCTTTCTCTCTCTCTCTTCCCCTTTTGGGACTCTGCATATGTTATGCTTGATGGTGTCCCACAGATCTCTTTTGCTCTGTTCATTTTTTCTTCATTCTTTTTTCTTTCTGTTCCTCAGACTGGATAATCTCAATTGATCTATCTTCAACTTTACTCATTCATTCTTCTGCCTGCTCAAATCTGCTGTTAAACCGCTCTAGTGAATTTCTCATTTCAGTTATATTACTTTTCAGCTACAGAATTCCTATTTGGTTCATTTTTATAATTTCTCTTTACTGATATTCTCTATTTGTTCATGAATTGTTCTCCTGGTTTTCATTAGTTCTTTGAGCATTTTCCAGACAGTTGATTTAAAGTTTTTGTCTAGTAAGTCTAATATCTGGGCTTCCTTAGGGACAGTCTCTATTAATTTTTTTCCCTGTGAATGGGCCAGACTTCCTCATTTCTTTGTATGCCTTATAATTCTCTGAAAACTGAGCATTATGGATATTATAATGTAGTTACTCTGGAAACCAGATTCTCCCTCCTCCCTGGGGTTTGTTGTTGCTGCTTGTTGTGAGCTGTAGCCATTTCCATGTTTAGTGACTTTCTAAACTATTGTTTGAAAGACAGTATTCTTTCTCTTGTGGACACCATTCGCTTAATGGTTGGGTAGTGATTGGACAGAGATTTCCTTAAATATCTGGAAACAAACAAACAAAAAATATTCTACCAATCTTTGCAGATTGGCTCTGTGTTGGGGCGCTCCTTCAACACTTGTCCAGGCTGCTTACAACCCTTAGTTTTCACCTGCTACTTGTGCAGTACCTAAAGGTTAGTCAGAAGTAAAAGCTTAGGGCCTTTTCTGAGCATGTGTCCAGCCCTGGGCATGTGCTTGGCCATCTCTGTACCTAGGAATATGTGGGAGCTTTTCAAAGCTCTTATTCCCCTATGTATCTCCTCCAGCCTCTTTCTTCCCAAACTTCTGGTCTGTCTACTGCTTGCCTCATCTGTTTTCCCTTGCCCCAGGTGACTGTGGTTAGTACATTTGCCTTTAAACGCTTTTGACAAATGCTATCCAGGAGGCTGCTTCAGCCCTGAGAAAGCTCTGAGGCAGATGAAACAAAGGCAAGTCCCTGGGCCAATTCCTCAGGGAGCCACCAGACAGGTCAAAACAAGCAACCACAGCTCTTTGAGAAGAAAATCCGTTCTGCTCCCTCCAGTAGGAATGTGGCCAGGAATGTGGGCAGTTGTCTTCACGGCCACTGACAAGCTGGGGAGCGAGGGACAGCAGGCAGATAAGTTAAAATGCCACAATGCTCTCTTAGCAAAATTCAACAACTTCTTTCTTTCTCCATTAAGCATTCCCCTGCTTGCTGTAAGTTTTTTAAATTAGATTCCAGAGTTCTGAAAACGTTGCTTCTGACAGTTTTTTCTTATTGAAGTATAGCTGACATACAACACTATTTCAGATGTACAACATAGTGATTTTACACGTATATACGTTATGAAATGATCACCATGATAAGTCTAGTAATCATCTGTCACCATATGAAGCTATTATAATATTATTGACTATATTCCCTATGCTGTATATTACATCCTCATGACTTTATTTTATAACTGGAAGTTTGTACCTGTTAATCCCCCTCACCTATTTCGCCCAACCCTCTACCCTCCCCCCAAAATTCAAACCAAATCTGTACAAAGTGCAGGCTCAAGGTTTCTATTTCTCAAGGTGGTCTTTTTTGTTTTTTCCACTCAGAGCTCAGGCAGAGCTGAACATGCTTTCTTGTTCCTCTGTGTGTGGGAAAGGTGTCTTCTTTGTCGGTGTTTTCCCTAAGGGTGCAGTCTTTGCAAGGTGCTGGCTTAGGCAGGGTCCTCAGCGCTAAATCCCCACTGTGCTTGGGACCCAGGTGTCATCTCCTAACTTGAGAGTGTGTGAAAACCCATGCCCTAGGCTCCTGGAATAACACTTTGTGGGCTATTCCCACACACACTTCAGCAGCTTATTTCATAGGGCTCCTGTTTTCCATTTCTGGCACCTGTGTGTTTCCGTCTCTTTTTTTTTTTTTTTTTTTTTTGCCAGCTCAGCCATTCAGTTAAAGCAATAGTGGTTACATTTTCCCTAGTAGTTTTAGGTAAGTGCAGCAGGAGGATTTTCAGGGTTCCTTGATTTTTTTTTATCTTGCTGGAACTAAAAGTATCTTCTCAAGCTCCTTGGCTGAAAACTTGTCCTCCGCCTATCCTGTTCCTTTGTCCTCTGTTTACCCCTTTCCCAAGAGTCTTATTTGGCTCTCTTCTCCTTTCTCCCTATACTAGGGGTCCTCACCTACCCTACTGGACCCTAATAACTTTTAACAAGGAGGCAAGTTAGCATGTAGTTACAGACTCAGACTCTACGGACAAAAACTGGGATCACATCCTTTCTCTGCCACCTAGGGGCAAGTTACTTGGCAATTCTGAGCCCATTTCATGTGTCAAGTGAGTGAAACAGTGAGCACAGGGTTCTGGAGGCCAGCTGTGAATGTGCAATGAACCAGGGCCCTTGGGTTAGGTGGGTGTGCTCTGTGATTACACAGGTGACGGGCAGCGATTCAAGTCCATGAGGACTTAGGCACGGCGTCAAGCACTGCACATTTACTCCTCAGGCACAACCCCATCAGAGATTAGTACTGCCCTCATGTTGCAGATGAGGAAACAGAGGCTGGGAGTGGTTGGGTAACTTGCCCAGCTCAGTTCCATTCCAACGGATGACTGCTTTGGGCTGAACATCCTTCTGGGCTTAACATTCTATACAGGGATAGTCACTGGAGATCTAAAGCTGCTTTAGAAGTGATTTTTAAAAAAAATCCTTATTTTATTTTACTGATTTATGGGAAGATTGATTTTCTTTTTTGAATTCTGGGGATGGGGTACCTTCTGGGGTGATCTCTCCAGTCAGGTGTGAGCTGGAACAGGGGTTGGGAGGAATAGCTGGTAGCTATGCATCCCCTCCTCCCAAAAAGAGCAAAGCTTCAGGAGAGCAAAGACCTCTTCGCTTGACCACCAGGTAAGTAAGAGGTCCCTGCCCCCAAGCCGGGCTTTTACAGAGCCTTTTCTACCTAACTTCAGCTGCCCCTGCCCCCGCCCCACCCAAAGGTGCTAAGTCCATGCCCAGGGCACAAATATGGGCGGCGAGGCGCATCTCTCTGTTCAGTCACTTTCCAGGTGCCAAGACACGCCTGAATGCACACCAGCCTCAGGCGCTCCCCACCGCCCCTCACTTACAGTAATGGGCCACAGGATGAAGGGCAAGTATCTCTGGATGGCGAAGGTGTGGATAATGAAGAAGAAGCACAAGACGGAAACCTCCATGGTGATGACGAGTGTCAGGAGGGGGTGCACGACGGTCCCCGTGAACATTACCATTGCACCTAATAGGCAGCCCTGCCGGGAGACATGCGCCTGAGCCACTGCAAAGGGCTGTCACGGACTCTTGGAGCCCCTCTGGAGCCCCCTGGAACCCGCTCCTTCACCCTCTCCCCCTCCTGGCCTCCCCCTCCCCACCAGGGATACCAGCTCAACTTACCAAGCTCAGGATCTTGACCTCGGCGTGCCCCATAACCCAGAACTCTCTATTGCTGTCCTTGAGTTCCCACCTGTAGCGGCGACATCCTTTCCTCGTGCCCACTTCATCCTTGGGCTCCACCTCCTTTTCCTTTGGTTTCTCCTCCTCTTTCTTGTCTGGAGGAGGGGGCGCCGCCCCCGGCGCTGGGGCCGCCGGCGCTGCCGCCGCCGCCGCATCCGCTTTGGGCTTTTTGCCTTTGTCAGCCATCTTTGCGCGGAGTTCTCAGCTACTCACGGCCTGCCCAATCTCTCTTGCTGTCCCCGGACAGGCCTGGCCTTTGAGCGAGCCTGGCGCCCACCGACCTGCTCAGGGGCCGCGCTCAGCCAACGGCCAGTCCAGCGAATGCCAACGCCTGGGGCCCTTTCAGCGCGCGCCCCGTCTCACCACGCGAGTCTCCCCTGCGCGCACGATGGGCCGGGCCGGGCTCTCCGCGAGCACCAGAGCGGGTTCCAGGTACCCACGGCCGCCGGGTCCGCCCACCCTCCACGCAAGAGTCCCCGCCCCACCTCCAGGCCACCGCGGGGGTCCCACTTGCGCGCTGGGCTCCCCTCACCGTCTAGCGAGGCCTCGCAAGGTGGCCCCAGGGCTGTAGCCGCTGCTCCCGCCTTCGGATCGGGTTGGCTGGGACCAGGGCGGGGTCAAGGCCCTGGCCATGGCCTCCTGGGGCAGCCGCACCCAGCGCCCCTCGGAGCACTGGCAGGCGCAAGAAGATGTGACTCGACTTTTACACAAGGCAACATGAGGAAGCAGAAGTGTTCCCGGCTTAGCAGCCCTGATTTTATGATCACATGTAGGCCGAAGGGGGTGACAGCATGCGAGCTCAGCGGTGGAAGGGATGAGACACAGCCGCTTATGTCTACCAGGATGCCTGTGCGGATGCCTTTGAGGATGCCCGCGTGGGTGCCTTTGAGGATGCTCGCGTGGTTGTCTTCGAGGGTGTCTTTGAAGGTGCCTGTGAGGGTGCCAGGGTGGGTGCTTGGGCGGGGACGGGCCTAGTTTCGATTTTGATTCCCAGGACTTTTTTCACCTCATTCCTCATCTTCTTGGTGACCAGAGTCGCACTGATGAGACACGCGATTGCCGCCGTGAGACACAGGGACTGTCAGATACAAGACCATATGTGGGAAGGAAAGGTGGGGTTATTCTGCAGCTCAGCAGCAACCTGTCTGCCCTATCCCCATACCAGGCTCGGGCTGCGAGCGGCCTCCTGTTCCCCTCTGACCCTCCACTGCCTTCTGGTGTCTGCCCAGCTGGCTGCTGCGGCCCATTCTGCCATTCCCAGAGAAGAGGATTTTGGAAGTGGTGGGTTTTGCTGCCAACAATGACCTTGCCTGAAGCCTGAGGCACCAGGAAAGGACTAGAGAAGGGCACTGGCCCTTCAGGTAGGGGTGGGGTCCTGAGAAGGCCTCTCAGTGGAAAGGACTCTTGGACTATGTTTGAAAGGGCAGGAAGGAGTTTCCAAGGAATCTGGTGTGGCAGAGACCTCTGGAGCTGGTGAGGGAAGGGGCAGACTTGAGGCTGGGGAGGTGCAGGATCTGGGACTTGATCAAGAAGAGAGGTCAGGTGTCTGACTCAGAAAGCCCACTTGCAGTAGCCATGAGGCTAAGGGAAAGTGAACAACCAGGCTGAAAGCAGGGAGACCAGTGGGGGGTGGGGCGCTCTACCATTCAGGTAAGAATTAACGGAGACCAGGGGTGGCAGGTAGAAGTAGGCTTGGTGGCTGAGTTAGCAGATGGGGACCAGTGGCCCACAGCATCTGAGATTCCTGGTGCTCCCCGGCTCCTGCCTGTCTTGAATGTTTCTCTTTATGGTCACTTACTCCCTGGCTGCTTTAATGAACTTTTCCTAGGTAGGTCTTGCCCTACCTAATCTGTGAGCTCCCTCGGAGGGAAGGGACTCTATCCCCAACACTGAGCTCAGGGCTGGCACAATCCAATGGGATTGACAAATATTTACTAATATGGAATGAACTGAAAGAATTTAAACTTTTTTTTCTGGATTAATTTCTGTTCCCATCGCTCAACTTCTTGAACCAACGTCTCACCTCCCCATCCCCCACCCCTCCATCTGCCATTTCTTGTGCTCTTCATCTGGTGAGGATTTGAGGCCCAGTTTATCCCAGCCTTGCGACCCAGGGCAAGGTATTTCATCTTAGTTTCCATATCTGTAAAAATGAGAGTTGTAAAGATCAAGTCAGAGTGTGCTTCGCCTGGTGTGGGGCACATGCTGGGAACTTCCTCCCTTCTTCCCTAAATAGTCTGGGGCACTCACTTGTGACAATGCATTTTTTTCCCCTTACAATCATTCTTTTCATGTGTTTTTTTTTTTTTTTTTAAGATTTTATTTATTTATTTTTTCCCTCAAAGTCCCAGTAGATAGTTGTATGTCATAGCTGCACATCCTTCTAGTTGCTGTATGTGGGACGCGGCCTGAGCATGGCAGGAGAAGCGGAGCCTGCGCGCCTGGGATCCGAACCCGGGCCGCCAGCAGTGGAGCGCTCGCACTTAACTGCTAAGCCACAGGGCCGGCCCTTTTCATGTGCTTTTAAAATATAGTTCTCTAGTCTGGAAAAGTCAAAGTCCTATGTATAGACAAGAACATCTTGTTGGAACATTTCAAAAAATAGTGTGTACGATGCTCAAAGGGGTTCAACAGACTTGTTTTTGTACCTATTTGGAGAATGAGTATTAGAATGAAGATTTTCACAAGCTTAGAGTTTGTGCAACTTCACATCTTCTGAAGAAGTCAGTGCAAGAAAGAGAAGGGGTGGTGGGGGGATGTTGTTCTGTAAATGAAATAATGATGGTCTGACAGTTTCCCTTTTCAAAGAGTCTTGAAATATTGATCTTAAATGGAGTCATGAAGGCCTCTACTTACCCCTCCAACATAGAATAAATGCCTTCTTTCCTTTTCTTGTATCGCCAAGGCAGCAACTATTAAAAGGAACACAGCTGTAATGAGACTGTTGATAAGATCCTGTAATACAGAATTGAAAATTGTCAACTTTACGTGAAAATGTAATTTCATAAAATATTTACATTGGTCAATTGCCCATCTAAGGGTGGATCCTGTTTAAAACTTTCCCTTTGATTAGTATTAAGAGGAACCCTCAGCAGTATAATTCTTACATCTTCCAGAGATGCGAGTTTATGTGATTTTAAGGTCCTGGATAGGACTTTGTCAGCAGAAATGGGTTTAATTTCATTAAAGAATACCATAAAAAGAAAAAAAAAAAAGCAGATAACTTTCCCATCTGACTTTTCTTAAAGGGCATAGACAAGTGAGCATGAAAAAACCTAGAGGTCTGGGGGCCCAGTCCAAGTTGGCCCTCCATAAATGTGATTCTTTGAAGTCTTGTATTTTAAATTAATGTAAATTATGCATTCTATTCCATAATACACTTTTTTTTTAATATAAAAATAACATTTTAGATTAGCACTTTGCTGATTTAATTCCACCCCCAAATCTGCAGGTAGAACCGATACTCTGGAAGTTGGGTCATATTTATTCTATAGGTTGACACATCCCAAGAAGGTAGGAACCCATAGAGGAGCAGACCTGATATTTTGGAGTGAATGCTTGTGCTGTTGACTTTTGCTGTTTTCTAAGACCTGGCCAGAATTGAGTCTGCCCTGACAGCTATAGGCTATTTGTGTCCTTCTTTCAGGATTTCAGTACTGGGTTCTTTAACTGCCAGCCCAGTCTGCTTCTTTGTGTGCTAGATAAAGGGTGAGGATGAGTGGGTGTGGGCACACTCCTGAGGATAAGCAGAGGCTGGGCTTTGGTCGCGGAGCAATAATGGAAGAGAGGGTACTCACTGTGTCAGTAGCACTAGTGTGTGTGTGGGGGCAAAAGCCTAGGGTGATGTAACCACAATATGGCCCAGATATCTAATTTGAACAGTTTAAGTCTTTAAGTCTTGGTGGCTTGACTTAGTAGTGTCAGCCTGTCTCTCAGCCTTGGTACACTTGCCCAAACACAGCAAGGAGACCTACCATCAGTACATGAGATCATAATGGCTCTAGTGGACCTCTTCAGTGTGCCAACATTTCCCAGTGTTATCTCATTTAACCCTCACAGACACCCTCCAAAGTCAGTAATGTTATGATCCCCATTTTAAGAGGATGTAACAGAGGCTTAGAGAGGTTGATTAAATCGCCTAAGGTTGAATATCTGCCAAGGAGTGGGGTCAGAACTCAACTCACTATTGCCTCCCATGAGGGACACTCAAATGAGAAGGAAATGAACTGTCCTCTTAGGTTGGAAGTGCAGCATCCATCTTTGGCATTTTCTGTGGAATGGGTCATGGAAGGTCAAAACGGTATGGGACAAATAAGGTGAGAGTGTTTGTTGTTGATGAACTCTTTTGGCCTGCCAATTCCTAGATGTGTGACCTGGGGCATGTTTTATCACTCCTTTGTGACAACATGCTAATTTTAAATATGAGGATAATGATTGGGATTCATTGGGTTGATGAGAGGATTAAATGGCATAATGAATCTGGAAGTATCACATAAGATGCCTGGCATCTAGTGGGTAGTGGGAGTACATCCAAATGTAGATTTGTGATATCTACTCTCAAAATGTGCACAGATAGTAAACTTTCTGCAAACCTCAGGTATTCTTCCTGTTAAAATTGGCGAGCAAGGAGCCCTATCATGGAATGTGACTTGCCTCTTGGAAGGGCACTAATGTCTATTATTTGGGTGCCTGGTAGGTAACAGTGGAAGGGGGACATGGAGCAGGGTTGGTGAGGGTTGGGAGTAAGTTCCAGCTGGGTTCTGTAGGCTGAGGAGAGGTCTGCCCACAGTGCGGCAGTTACAGGAATTTGCAGTGTTGCAGGAAGCTTAGCATCTGAGGATTGTGTAAACCAAGATATTCAAAGATGTGATCAGCACTCTTACAACTAAGAAGTGGGATGTAAACTTTTTAAAATAAAAATTAATTAGCTATGGTCATAGATCATTGAGAATTTGGATGAAAGCACATTAATAATGATGATAACAATAAACCAAATGTAGACTATGCCTTGCTAGCCAATTGTTGACTCCCTGTCATAATTCCATCTCCTCGTTGGACTACTGGACGTTATAGTTTACTCTGGTCCTTACTCATAAGGAAGTACTGTCCTGAATTCTCCCTTAGAGCTAATGTTTGCCTTGAACCTAACATTTCTACTGTAGCTCACATTTCTTGAGCACTTACTATGTGTCACGTGCTGTGCCAAGGTGTTAATACTTGATCTCATTTGATTATCACAACAAACTCTCATTATCCCCAGTTTACAGATGGGTGAGCAACTTGCACGAGGTTGCTCAGCCAGTAAGTGGCTATGACTCACAGCAGTCTGACTTGAGTGCCCTACGGCCTTCTCCTGACTAACCACCCTCCCTTTTGCCTTAGACACAGACCCTCTTGTTGGCCTCATCTTTGACAGAGAGAGAGATATGTTTTCCCTAATGGGGCAAAATTGCAGCTAAGCCTTGCCGTGTGCAGTAGGACTTCTGGTTTCCCCATAAATGCTGTCTTTACTTATTATCTTTTTCTTTCCCCTTTGACTAAATACCCTATTGACTCAAGTAGCCTCCTCTGACTAAAATGAGAGATGGGTTTGTTACTTGACTATTATTTTTCCACAAAGCTCCCAAACTGTTCTCTGAGATAAATACAATTTTATAGAATTATAACTGGGAAAGAAAAAGATGCTTTAATGGTGAATGCTTATTTTTAAAAATCACTGAATATTAGAAAAAAAGTTAAACATTTACAATGTTTCACAAAATGTGGTATTTGTAACAAGTATTTATCTGCAATAAATATTATATGGTATTCACCTAACTGCAACTTTCATTGGTTCCATTTGTGCCTGGAGTTCTTCAAACACATGGCAGAGCCTGATCAGAAATCATCAGAACTGTTGTTTTTCATTAATCTTATTTGAAGGGGACATTCTAAAGCTGATACTTCTTACTTATAAATGTAAAGCTATTGCTGGTAGTTTGGGAATCATCATTTCTATAGTTTTAATTTAAAATATGTTTATTATGTTCCTTTTAAAAAAAATTGCTTTCTATTGGCAAAAACATCTGCTTGACCAGAACTCAGTTTCTCTGACCATACTAGATAATATTTTTTACAATGTAGAAGTGTTAAAAATATGGGCTATTCATGATACAAGCCCACCTTAACAAACAAGAAAAAGCTTAAATAAGCAACCTTAAATTACACCTAACAGAACTAGAAAAAGAAGAACAAAGCCCAAAGTCAGGAGAAGGAGAGACATAATAAAAATCAGAGCAGAAATAAATGAAATTGAGACCAAAAAAAAAATAGTAGAAAGGATTAATGAAACAAAGAGTTGGTTCTTTGAGAAGATAAACAAAATTGACAAACCCTTAGCCAGACTTACTAAGGAAAAAAGAGAAAAGGCTCAAGTAAATAAAATTAGAAATGAAAGAGGAGAAATTACAATGGATACTACGGAAATACAAAGGATTATAAGAGAATACTATGAGAAATTATATGCCAACAAATTGGACAATCTAGAAGAAATGGATAAATTCTTAGACTCATACAACCTCCCAAAACTGAACCAAGAAGAA